AGAAAATAAAAAAAGTGGGGGGTTGTTTTTGGGGGGGGGGGGGGGGGTTGCTTTTTCTTATTTTCTTTTCTACTCTAAGCAAGGTAATCCAAAACAGCTCCTAGAAGCTACTGAACTAACATATGTCATTCATACACCATTTGAATAACGAGCTGAATAGCATGTAAATAATACCCAGCAGTAAGAACAAAAGACTTTGCCTCTTTATGCCAATGTGTTCAATGCTTTCATCACAATCACATTACTGCTTCTGGGATTCTGCTACCATGATACTAACAACCAAGCAATGAGAACAGACATTTTTTTCCCTCCTTTTTATACCAGCTGGAGCTTGAATAATTCTATAATACCCACATCTTACTTCCCAAGAGTGCTCTTCAGCATACTGACTTTTTATCACCTTTAAAACTGGTGATAGCTGGCCACATAAAATAGCCAGTTAAGCTGGCAAAGAGACAACTGGAAGGGAGTTCCACACCAGGAAGTATGATTTATCTTGCCCACTGGGAAAGAACATTATGAGGCATCTTTAGGCTCTCAAAAGCTCAGCTATCCAAAGAGGTCTTCAGAGAATTAACAGTATTTTATCAGGTTTCCTTCAAAGACTGACCCAGGCTGAACCTCTGCACAATAGAAGAGAGAAGCTGCTGCTTTGGCAGAGCTGACCCCACCAGCACAAGATGAAGACACCTGTGGCTTATTTGCACACTCATCTTTAGTGTCTTCCATAATTGGAAAACTTCCTGCAGAACATGGATCTTTATATAAAACTCTGGCCCAGAAATGGCATCTATATTTAGAAGACAAAGGGTACATCTGTTCTTTCTCTTTAAGATGTATTTTTTGCCAGTGAGAAGGAAAAGGTAAAAAATACCAAGATGAGCCAGTTTAAGGACTATATTCTATATAGTTTATTAAATGTGATTACTGTTTCAGAAATAAATTTTAGGGCATTATTATATGAGACTAAACCAATGGGCTCAGAGAGGCTTAGAAGTCAAAGAACTTTCTAATAGAGTAAGTAGGGCACGTTTTAAGGTAGCACAATACTGAAACTACCAGCCAAGCATCGTGCCAAGAAGAGGGTCTTAGAAGGAAAAATGCATTTGATTGCTCATTTTCCACTTGTATGCTATATGTGACATGTGGTAGGAAATGAGTATGAGAAGAGAACTTCCAGGTGCTTCGGTTTTCTAAGAATTATTTAGAAAAAAATAATCTCCGATCACGGAAGGTTATTGTGCATCTTCCTGTACAAGTCATATAGGTTCAGCACACAACATGCAATACCAATTTTCTTTAGAGCATTAAAATCAAGAAGGGCCACTTGACGAACTGCATTTCAAGGATGTAGAAAGTACACCCATCACAGAGGGAGAAGTCAGAAAGAATTTACTTCCTCCTCCACCAAGAAAACACCCCACAGTTGTTTAAGTGTCACTAAAACAAAGTAATCGGGAACATGAGATTTGGACAATCAAGCAGAGGGCATTTTACATTCAAACCTACCTGCAATCCAACACAAGGAACAAATCAAGACTCAGAGCAGTCAGAGTTAGGGCTGATATTCTCTCCTTAACTCAGGATTTTTGCACCTTTATACCTTTTCCTATTACAGTTTGAACGAGTTACTCCTTCTGTTAATGGGTATTTTTAATGACTGTGGTAAGTGTGATTGAAATCTGGAGGTAGACTGCTAACACTTCTCTGCGCACCCCTTGTAACCAGCACGGCTCTATCAGTCGCTGCATTACACTCCACGTATGAGCGCTTTGCTCCACGTGCTGTTGATGGTAGTCCCTGATCCAAACCCTTCAGTGCAAAGATGCTGTGGAAAACACAGATTTCAACATCTGGACAGGCCAGCAGATAAAGATGTATCAGCACTTGCCAGTCATGTGGACGTGAAACCGTATTATCCATAGTTAAAATAACTAAGTCTTTAGCTCCTTTAAAACTTTTAAAGGCCTAAAGCCTGAGCACAATTCAGAGCTAAGGAGGGCTTGGACTCTACTCTGAGGTAGCCTGGATACAGTGCCTGACACAGCTATAAGATATACAGTTGCATTTAGTTTCCTTTAAAGAGGAGCTTTCATAGAAGGTTAAAGAAATGCACAATGCAGTCATTCTTCCAGTACTCTTGCTGGAAGTACCCACGTGCCTTTACACCCTCCTTTACCCTTTCAGAAACAGCACGGAGGACAAGTTTCAACCCATACCTTCACCACACTGTCAGCTACCCTAGAAAGAGTACCAAAAAGACTTCTTGTTACCATTTCTCATGGTGGCTTGTGCTATTCGGTACAGCACACCTCCCAGTCACTTACCAGTCAGCTAGGACAAACACTGCAGATTGCACGCAAGTTTATTTTTTTATTTCTCCAAAGGAGAAAAAAAAAAGTCTCTCCTTCACATTCAGCCTTTTTGAGGGTATAAACTTTCATAGGTAGCGATTGCCAGGACATACTAGTTAGGTGCTTAACATGTATAGCCGGTGTACAAAGGAATAATTGGTTGCAAAAAAACCCCTCCAAAAAACCTGATGGGAGTAATCAGTTAATTTTAGAGCAAAAATTCTACCAACTCCTCCGAACTGTGCAGACCACGAGTACTTCATAGTTAACTTCCAGCTATACTAGAAGATCACCTACCATATGAAACCCCGACTCCAAGTATAAACCATTTACTATTTGTGGTTAAAAACCCCACACGTATCTCTCTTCAACTACCCTGACTTTGATTTCCTGCCAGAGCTATTCAGGTAATCCAATAAAGACCAAAGCTTCTGGATTCAAGTTCTTAAAGGTTGATCCACCTCTCAAATAGCTGGAGCACAGTAAACACACAGGGTTTGGTATCATTATGTATGGGAGGTACAAGATGCAGGGAAACAGCCAATTCCAGCCAGTGGGTTCTGAATTCAAAGGGACTTAAGTTTTCCAAATCAAAAGAACAGAGCTTCTGTTTGTTTTCTTTGTTTTTAAAGTCTTGGAAAGAATGCAATGCCTTGTTCTTTGCCCTGCAGACAGCCACATTAAACTCTGGGTGTGACCCTAGGTAAGCAGAAGACAGTGCAGACTGAGATCAGGTCATGTTTCAGCTCAGAGGAGATTTCAAGTCCAGAATGAAGACACTAGAATTCCGCCCCCACCCCCCAAACAGTAAAGCAGTACTTTATTTCATGGAATAGACCCACCAAACGTCGCTACAATACCACCTGTAGGAACCAATAAGCAGAAAAACCACCGTAAGTTTACACCCAAGAGCAGTCTTTGCAAGACTTGAGACTGAAGAAAGTTGTGACCCTTTCAAGGGTGCTAGCACCATGCTTCAAGACAAGTTTGCATTCATGCACCACAGCAGAGGGCATCAAGACACCCGATTCAGACAGCACCCTTCCCAGCATGTCACAAGGCAGGCAGAGAAACGGCAAGAGGCGGCAAGAAGGCAGACCAAGCAGCAACATGACGGAAAGGAATCCAATGCAAGGCTGACAAAAGTCCCAACAAGAACAGCAGAAAAGGAGGAACCAGCAGCTTTATGGACATGTAATTCTGGGAACACAATGTATACGGGTCATCGACTGCATGAGTCAAAAGCAATGGGCCCACTTTTCCAACTGGAATCAACCCCTTTCAGTTACTGTGTGGCTGTAGATCCTTTGAAGGAGCACACTGTCCTTCGTACCGGATGAGTGCAATGAGCCTGGGAGCTCTAATTATACCCTATATTCAACCAAGACAAAAACTACAAGGCCTACTGCAGACCACCTACTCTTTCTGTAGGCACGTGACTGTCACGGACCACCGCAAGGGAAGACACACTGGCTATCTTGGAGGACATCAGCAACTACAGCCCCTTAGGAATTCAGTGAAATGGTACTAGGAGGACCCTGCTCACAGAGCCTGTGGGAAATGGATGGGATGATTTGGACACACACAGAACAAACAAAACAGTAAAAGGTTTTGAAACAGAATGAAATAGATCTTAGTGCTTATGTCTGGACCTTTAGGGAAGTCTTTTTTTAAACTTGCTCCTTTCTGACTTTAAATGCAAAGATAGAAGGAGAAGCTGCACACAGATCTAAAAGGTAAGGCAGTAACTCTTCAGGACAGGCCACTGTTACCAGCTAGGATCTTCCAACAAATTAAAAATCCTACTGAGGAGCTTAAAGCACGTGGCAGATAGGTATCAGTGGTTTTGGGCACATGCTGTTATGACCAGTCAAGACAAGCAGAACAGCAGCAAGGGAAGTCAAAAGGTTGAATTAAGACAACCAGTCCCAACTGAAAAGCTGCTGGATTGGTTCTCTTTACTTCTAGAAGAGGGCTTCTTGTGATGGGAGAACTTCTATTCTACATTTGAGCAGCACTCAGTACTAAGTGTTCAAGCTGTTCTCAAGTGTGCACTCTGAGTTGAAGCTGCTGTGAGTTAACCTTTGCGAAGCCTGGGCACCTATAACCCTCACAACGTGCACCAGAAGCCTTTGCAAGGTTGATGCTGCTCCTTGAGTCTGCACCAGAGCAAAACTGATTTTAATTTTAACCCTTGGCAGGAGGGAATGGGGTGGGAGGTGCAGAGGGAAGGAATGTGAAGAAATAAAAGGCACTGGCCTGGGATAAACAGTGCAGGGATGAAGGGAGTGGTTAGGAGTGGAGAAGGGGTTGAGCAAGAAGGACCTTTTTTCCAGTACCTGTTCCATTTGCGGGCGCTGTTACCAGTATGTCCGTGCACTGTCCGAGGGCTTAAGCTGCCAGCTCATATGGCTGCTACTGTCCATGGCAGCCAAATACAACTGTGATGACGCAAGAAAGAGAGAGAAAAAGAGAGTGCAGCCTCAACGTGCATGAAAAACACAGTGCAAGCAAGTGAAACGCTGTGGTGTGTGTGTCAGCGACAAGGTGGGCTCTACAACCCTAAGGGAATAGCCCTGTGGCAAGAAGGAGAAAACAGAAGGAATGAGAGAAGGGAAAAAAAACAAACAAACAAAAAGCCAGGAAAAGTAACGGACAAACAATGCAACAGGATCATCACATCTTAGTTTTCACCATTTGTTCACAGAAAGCTAAATGGAATGTCCACCCACTGGACATAACCTGTTTGGATGGTTATCCCCACCTCCTCCCTCCCAAAAGGAGGCAGACACATGTGCGTTGGTATTCTCTCTTCATCTCTCTCCTCCCACAGATGATTTGCTATGAAAAGTTGCAAGTTCTTCTGCCTCAGTACAGTCTCAGCCACCTGCTATGAAGAGCTGTGAATACAAAAATCCCAGAAAAGCTCCCTTCCCTGCTGCCTGCCAATACGAGAGTAGACAGTATTTTTCTTCTCTCCGTTGCCTGTCTACTACCAGTATGATCCTGCAGAAAACACATTCATCCTACAGCCTGTTCCTTGCCTCGCCTAGGGAGAAACTCCCCTTGTCTACATGAGCAACAATGCACTCTCCTCCTCCCCCAGCTCCTGCACTTCCCCATAGCCCATATTGATGGCTGCCAAGTCAAAAAAAATCTCATCTCTACTCTCAGAAACCAGCCTAAGGCACCACAACTCAGATCCCCCCTCGGGGTATTAACACAAACAGCTACTGAAGAACCACGGAACTTCTTGCCTAACTAAAGCCCCTGCAGACAGGAGCGTGCTTTCTCTGAAGCAGAAGAGCTGTAGGGGAAGGGGAAGCAGGACCTTGGTCTACAGACACTGAACGAACACATGCCCTGGCACTACCAGAGGGACAGTGCCCTTCCCTCAATAGGAAACACCAGCAATAAAGCATTTGCCACACTGTACTGGTGTGCAACACGTCAGCCCTTCCCCCGAGGACCATCTCGTTGCTGAGATCAGAGAACGCTACCAGAGCTTGCGATCAGAGTACCACCAGGGATCAGGAAAAAACTCTTTGTGAAGGTGGAAAGAGGTCTGGCCAAGTACAGAGACAAGGATCAACTCTCCACTCTTCCACTTTCTCTACAGCAAGATGATCTGGTCATTTTGAAGTGAAAACATGAATGTGATGTCCCCTTTTCCACCACAATTCATATTCCTTCATCCTCCAACCGCCTCTTCCTCCCCTCCCCATGAATTTGAACCATGCACCACAGAGTGTAATTTCTCTACCTATACCTGAAGACTGGTTGATTATTAAGCATGCTACTACTCATCCTCTAATCACACCACCAAGTTAGTGAGCACTGTGATGGCATGTTCTCCAAGTTCTGGTGTAAGTAAGGCTGACAGGATCCAGGGAGGGCAAGATTCATCTAGTTCTTACGCATACACGAAGGCAAGCCCATGTTTTATCCGGCATACAGAAATGGCTATCAGGCCACTCCAAATATCAAAACCTTCCATGAAAGTTGGTTTTTTTCTTCCTCCTCCATAGGAAATTAAATACAAAAAATAGATTCTAAAGAAAGTAAAACAGTTGTGAAAGAAAGATTTAAAAAAAAGTCTCAACAAAAAAAATAATACAGGTTTCATCCTACCATCCCTTCAGGGCAGATTAAGGAGAGAGGTTCAGCGATAACTCTGAATTTACTGTTTTAACAAGTTTCTTTTTCAACTTGAGGAACCAATGCCACAGATAGCGAGTACACTGCATGCAAGTGAATCATCCCGCTGAAGTCACCCACCAAGATACTCATGCACTTCAGTGGTGGCAGGACTGGGCCCATAGCATTACCAGTGTTAACTGATAGAGTTTTATTCTTTTTTACGTGCAACGTCCAAAGCAGCATAGCAGGGTTTTATTCCCCATGGCAGGTGAGACATGGCTTGTCTATTCAAATTCCTGCCATTTATGGGCCAGATCCTGTGTCGGGCTGCACAATCAGCTCCCTTGAGAGTATACTGGAGTGGTAACCGTGTGTTCCCCAAAGTTGCTGAAGCAGAGAGGAGCAGGAAAGAGAGACTTACTGAGGGAGGTGGGGACTCCCGGCCAATGAGCGGGGTATTCTCGCAACGGGGGTTCTGGAAATTTGCATTCTGGCTCCTAGGAAAGGAAGACACACATGGTAACAGGGGGTATGCGTCACACTTCTCTGGGGAAGGTCGGTGACAGTGACATGGGACAGTATATGCACCCCCAGAACTACCGTATCAGGTCAGTCTCCCTCAAAGTTTTTCTTACAGGCCAGGTGCATCCCCCTTTTTCAGACAAGGGCACAAATCTAGCATCATTTACCTCAGATTAAGGACTATCTATACACTTTTACTCAGAAGGGCCCACACTGAATCACGTCAAGTGATTTAAAAATAGGTCCGTGTGAAAATCTGCCTCCCTGCAGCGTTAGAACTGTCAAACTGCAGAAATGGAGATAAAATGAGGACAAAGTCTAACGGGAAGAATAAAGTGATGTGCGAGCCCTAAAAAGATGGGCCCTGAAGGTAGTCCATGTGTGATCAGGGTGAGGCACTTCTGAAGAAAGCTCTGAAGATCCCATCTGGACTAGGTAGCTCCGGACTGCAACAGATGTCAGAGCTGACTGCAAATATTGTGGAAGGACAGAGCCTGCAGGTTTTGTCTTGGCGCTCAGTTTCTCAGGAGGCTTAAAGTCTTCTGGCAAAACTGCTCTGTCTGAAGACTTAAGTCTTCTGGGGACCAGAATCATTGTGTAATAAGAAGCCCGGACAATACTTTCCTACTTCTTTTCTCTAGACAGATTTCTAAATTCTGCAGGACAAAGCTGTTCATATTTATCACTTCTACCGCTTGGTCAACAGTGCCAGCCTCGCAGCACTTGGCAACAACAGCAAGTGGAGTGAAGCAACCTGGACAAGCCGCAATACAGCCTTCTTGTCGGGATACTCACATGTACTCTGTGACAGGAGCATTGCTGACTGTGTGTGCTGCTGCTGGAATGCTGGTCTCACTGCCATAACTACTCCCACAGCTATAGAGGCTGGGCATGTGCACTCTGTAAAGATTATCGTGTGTTTGTCTACTCCCTTGAGCAGCTGATTCTTCTTCCCCATCATCATCTGAGCTTCTGCAAGAAGGAGAAAAAGTTCCTCCTAGAACCCTACAATTACCCCGCACGTGGGGTTTGCAGGAAACCATGGTAATCCTAGGAACCTCCCAACCATCTTCCACACCTCCACATTTATACCCATTTGGGATGCCTCAGGGTGGCAGTGTCAAACACAGCCTACACCACAGTGACTCAGACCTCCCACAGATACCATCTGGACTTTGACACTGCCTGATCCCCTACAGTCTTCTCTCTGGGCAGCTGCAGAACTGTGCTGTCTGCCAAGCCCTGTCATACAACCAAAGGATGGACACGTCCCAAAATACACAGAAAAAAAAGAAAAAAGAAAAAAGAAAAAGAGATGCAGGCAGTAGGGGTGTAGTGCCACGCACCCCACAGAAAGCATCCTTCAAAATGGCAATCTGTGTCCTTCCATCTCTTGTAGCCATGTCCAAAGACCTTTTAAGGATAAGTCTCTGTAGACTTCTCTGAAGTCCCATTCTGGTTGCAAAGGGTCTGCTTCAGCTTCTAGCAAAATCTCAGAAGCCTTTACAGAGACTAACTTGCAACACTTCTGTCTAAAGGCCTTCTTCTCTCAAAAATGCCAGGATTTTAAATCAATTTTAATGCAGAGCAGAGCTGTTTGCTAGCTGGTTCCTTCTCCCCTTTCCCATAGTATTCTCTTGTCCCTCCTATATAATATACACTGCTATTTTATCTCCCTAATTACGGGATGAAGCACCAAGGTTTGAAATATATTTTAGCAATGCTTGACAAAGCTAAAGTAAAAGGTTCTACAGGAAGTGCTCTGCTGCTGGGTGAAACAGCATGGGCATTGCTAGAACATCCCAAATGTCACTTGGAGGGTCTGTACCACAAGGTGGCACTGAAGATTTATTCAGGGAAATGCAGCCTGCACAGTCTCTTACGGGCAATGAAGTATAACATCCTCCACCTCCCAGAGGGAGGCAGAGGAAGAAATGGTGCTCCGGGGAATGCAAAAGAGGATCCTTCAGTTCATGGCAGCAGCTTGAGCCTTGCTGGGGTTGGCAGGGCAGGCAGCAGCCCACATGGAAGGCAGCACAAGAGACACCACTGTGTAAACCCTTCTCCTTCAAACAGGCAGACTGCCATTCTCTTCTTGATCACGTCTCGGCAGCTGCACGAAGAGGTAAGGAAACCAGCCATTTTCTTAAATGCTATTCTGACGCATTTCCCAAGGCTTTCTCTGTGGGCACTGCAGGCCTGGCGGGCTCCGGCTTCCTGCTATTGTTTAGGATGTTCCATTTTACTTTGAACCCTGAGCCTGGGCTTAGACCACAAAAATCATCTCTGAGGACCACAGAAGAGAATTTGCTGCACAGTCTACTGCTCTTCTGCAAGAACAGAAAACTCAAAGCTATTTTAACAGCTGCGTGTGATGCAGCAGCCAGTCAGTGAAGTGAAGGTTTGCTCAAGACTTACTGATCAGCCTGGTTACCATCATTAATACTAGTTCCAAATAACTCTGCTATTAGGTGATTGCCACCAGTCTGCAAGTATCTCATCTGCCCATGCTATTGCCAGCAAGACAAGTCCCGGTTTCTATTAGCTATGCAAGCCAGTCACCCCAGCACGAGCAAAGCCAAAAAGGCAAGTGTGAACTGCTTCTCATTCCAATTCTCTTCCCCATACTAGAACAAACGCCTCAAAGCAATGCAAGAGAATAGGTATTTTACAGAGATGGCACATAGTTCAAGCATTACCTCTCTCTACAGCTATAATCATTCATCTCTGACTTGACTCATAGTCCTCCAGTGTACTGAATACTCTGCACAGGCAGTATTCCAGTGCAATAAGGTTCAGATGTAAATATTAATCACAGCCAGAGCAAAAGCCAACAGCTTTTTTTCTGTTGGACCTGTGCTTATAAAGCCTCATCCCTCACACTCCTGGGATCATATGGGAAAGAGCTCCATATGCTCATGGGCACAAATCCAATAGCCAGTCTTCATTAGGAAAGAGCTCTACAACGCTACAGGATCTCAACCCTCTCTATACCTCTTTTGCTGCCAAGTGTGTGGGACGCTGCACACAATGGAACTGAACATGAGGGCTGTGACAAAGGAGAAGAGAACCAGGTAGATGAGGCCTTCCACTCCATCATAGCAAAAGCCCGTCAAAGCCTGGACGTAATCCTGGAGAGAAAAATGAGCAGAGTTTCCTGATCACTACAGAGTTAACATGGAGCTCTAATTCAAAAACCCTTCCCCCAGATTATGTCCTTCGAAACAACTTATGAGATTGTAGTCCCTTTTCCAGTGAATGCTTCTATTTTAATTTTGGGGACCTCAACTGTTTTGCATAACTGGTCTTAACCCTTATTTCCCCTCCAAAAACCCAGCTCGGATATAGATGTGGGAATATTTTCAACCCCACACAGTTAACAGTTTAAAAGGAAAAAAAAAAAACCCCACACCCAAGGCAAACTTATCCACCCAACTTGAGATGTCACATTTTTCATTAAGCCTCTCAGCTCCTTCACTATGTCCCACTGCCCAAGAACAAGCATGGACTATCTGTTTCTCTACCTTTGGACATGCTGCTAGGGCAACAGCTAGGTCATGCGATACTGCAGCTATAAGGCATTCCATAGGAAAGGCAACAAACTATGAGATATAGAAAAAAAATTAAGGTGCCTGAAACCTTAGGGCTGCAGCTTGTATAGGTATGCTCGTACAGGTGCGTGTTATCTAGTTACCTATCCTAATCTTTAAACACAAAGCTAACCTGATCCAAATTCCCGTTCTCCTTTCTGCTGAAGTCAATCAGTAAAAGCTGTTGTAAACTGTTTTGGCACAGCAGAGATTTGAAACTCCAAAATAATCAGTACACTACAGGCTCTACACTCCTTTGGTCTTAAGCCCAGTTACCAAATACTCACCAAATGCAAACTCCGACAGTCTACTAAAGCTGTCAGTTGCTGCAAGTTGATCTCTGTTGAATTTAAAACCTCCTGGATCCGAGTAAGATACTCCTGTAAGCAACAAGCTAGCGATTACAGCAAGGAAATGGCTTAGCAGGAGCTGATCTTGGGCTTTGCACAGGGGTAAGGGAAGCCAGAAAACACAGGGAAAGCAAACCTGAGGACAGTTACCTTGGAGGTTGGGTGCTCTCTGCTTGCTGACCTCATGAGTTCCGTAACATCATCTTGCATTTCCACCAGAGCCTTGTGACTTCCTGACAGCTTCTGCTCAACACAGAACATGCAATATTTCAGCAATTCAGGCCACACGAACCAACAGAACTCATGGGAAAAGACTTAAACCCTGCTTCCCAAATACTGAAGCATGATCTGTGTGAATGGTACAAGTTAAGGATGTCTCAACTGACATGGGTGCAGCTGCAACAGGGTTAAGTTTGACTTTTACCAACCTGGAAGAAGTACAGACAGACAGGAGAGAGAAAGGGAAGAACCAAAAGAAAAAAACCCCACAACTAAGAAACCGACATACACACACAAAAACCATACACCCAGCCAGGGCCAGCTCCAGGATACAGGAGAAGAGAAAGATATGACGCACTCATGTTCTCATCACAAAGCACAGCTGGATTTTTCTATTAAATCAGATGGCTGAGAAAGAGTTAATGTTAACACTAGAAGTTGTTTGTACTGAGGCACAGTCTTTGGATCCCATTAAAGCATCCATGGGAATTTCACATGCAATAGCATGTCAGAGTATACCAAGCAATCAGAAACGCAACAGATGGCAATGGTGCATCATACCACAGCTTGGAGTGTTCTTACTCCACCCTTTAAAACAGAGGAAGACAAGACTTAGAAAATACTAAATATAAATGGTGAAGCAGCTGGTGTCTGCCAAACGGTGGGTGGTGTGGGTTCATTCTGGCCTCTGAGACATAAGACAAAGTTTGGGATGGGCCCAGGTGCTGTTCCTCAGCCCCCACACAAAAAAATAATGACTCACATTTATACTTTGGGATACAAACCCTTCAACATCCAAGGGATTTAAGAGGCGTATGTGAGAATCACTCCCTCACCCACAGAAGTGGCTGCATTTTGGGAGTGGAGTGTTGCCACTGTTCAACCCAAAAGAACCTGCAAGAGGAGATTCAAAGCAGGAAGTATGTAGTTTCCCACCCTGGCATTAATTGTGGGTGCTCTGTCTCCACATTGCTGCTCTTCTAAGAGTGCCATGTAAACAGAGGTACCATGGATAAAGCCACAGTCCTCACCACATCACACATAGGCCCTTCTAAGATGGCATTCTGGACCTGAAGCTATGCAGGTACTGATAAGCTGGAAGAAAATTGCTCACTAAGTCACAGTGCCACCTCTTGCACAGCTGGAAAGTAGCTACCAAAGCTTTACCCACAAGTGGAGTGCTCCCTAAAGCTAACACCTTGCAACTTGCTGCATGCTGGCATCAAAAGCCTTTAACCAATACTCTGCAGGATGCTGAGAAGGGGTGAAGGAGCTAGGACGCTTTCACTCACCTGCTGGAAAGGGTTGGGGTATCCAGCGCTACAGGTAATGTAATAGCGGAGAGTATCTACAAAGATAAAAGAAAAAAAGTCATGCTAGATACGTTGTTCCAGCTTTGCAGCATTTTAGAACTGCCACAAGGGAGGTGTTAAGTTCTGAAAGCAATACACAAAATGAAAATGCAATATAAATGGAATCACTTCCCTCTCTCCATGCAGGATTACAGTGCATGGATGGCACTGGAGAAAGGGATGTAAACTGCCTTTGGGGAGAAAAGAAAGATTTGTTTTCATTCCTTTTTTTTAGAAAAAAAAACAAAAAAAAACAGTGAAAGGCAACGGGTCTGCTCCACTTAAATGGTTAGATGAAACATCCAAAAAGTTTTATTCAGAAGTCAACGCTATCCACAGTATAAACATAAGACAAGACCTCGGTCTAGGATAAATCCAACTGGATATTTAATTTCTGCAACTTCCAAGTGTCAGAATACCGTTCTACGGTCACTGAAAGCAACCACAGACTGCTGCCTAGGGCACACAGCAAAGAGACAACTCAATTTTCACCCAGTTCAGTTCACCAGCTAGGTCACTACACAGCCACAAAATATTAGCACAGGAGAGGCAGTAGCAGTGATATAAATACAGGCTGCTATCAAAAATACCTGTGGAAGCACACTGTTGGGCCAAAGAAGGTGCTTGCACACATCCCTGTGCTACTACACAATGCTGAATATACTGCTTCCTCAGTGTACAAGTTCAAGTGTTTCACTAAAAAAAAAAAAAAGACATCTTCACAACTGGTGAGTCTTCTGTCACGTTCAAGGACAGACTGGGTTTTAGGCAATGTTCTGCAGAAGAACATAAAGTCCTCCTAGTTCAAGAAAATCACAACTTTATAATATCATTTCCTAAAAATGGTATCACTTTGAAAGCAAGTGAGGAAATGGATGGAAGACAAGTTCTTGTCTTTCTGACATGTATTAGGGATGAACAAGTAAATAGTAGCCTGTTTTCTGACGGATGTCACTTGCATGCAATTAGACCTTAATTAGGAGGCTTTAATTACACTTCAGCTAGAAAGAGTGCACGTCATTTGTTTTGCATCCTCCTTTTGACTTATGCAAAAAAGGTACTTTCGGTACTTAGTCAATACTGCAGACTTGATCAGGAAAGAAAGTTCTTACCATATATTAGGATAACAGCAACATGCTATCTGTTCAAGGAACCTCACATCATTTGCTGGTAACATCCCAAAAGTTAGTCTTAATTCTGAGTAGCTCTACCAGGAGTCACAGTACAGTGAAGATGTACTCAAACTTCCAGATAAGCCTGGTACAGTGCTCTGCTAGCAGCATCACTTATTTCCAGGCTTGAAGAGGTACTTTTATTTCTCCTCATTCAGACGTGTATGAAACCAGCCCAGTGCCTTCAGGAGCCCTCCATGATTCTACACCAACTGCCGGCAAGCCCAAGTTACAAGTATCAGGCTTTCCCCTGCCTTTCTCAATAACACTATGGAGGGAGAGAGCTCTGAAAGACTTGATCATCCAAATACCTTCGGATTATTTCTCAAACATTTACAGTTCCTCTTCAGATGAATGGAGAGTGTCAGCTCAGCAAAAGCTATGGTAGCATTTGCTTGGTGAAGATGACAAAAGCCCCAAAACACACATTTCCCCCTCCTCAGTAGCATCCTCTTCTCCATTCTTTTTAATCTTCTGTGACTTTCAGTAACACACATTCCAGGCTGCAAAAGTATTCTGATCAGTCCCAACTCAGAAATCAGTCAAAGGCACAACCACAAGCAAGCGGAGCTGTGAAGGAAGCAGACCTGACTGTATCCTGACTCTGCCACGCTTCCCATAAATATTGAATGCACCTTTCGGCAAGCCAACACACTGGAGACCAAGTGGTACAACACAGACTGTCAGCTCCCTGCACAATGGCAATGCAACCTGACAGCTGTTATTTATAATTCATTAGCCTACTTTGGGGCAGCTTCTGCCAGCTGCTCCATCTCCCCCCCACCGACTCTTTCTCTGGGATGACTTACATGTCCCCAAGCCAAGCCTCTAAACAGCAATTAGCCAAATCTGGGCAGATAGGATGGCAGCAAGAACTGCTTTGTGCATCTCACTTTGGGCAGACCACACAAATGACTGTCCACAACTACTGAGTCAAGGAAAGGACTGCTCCTCCCAGGCTCATAAATCACACTCAATTGCTAGGGAAAAATGGATTAAAACACACCTGTGCTGAGAGAACAGCATAGCAACAGTAATCCACAGCATCACACATGGCAACCTAAAGGAGCTGTGATCTTGTCAACTATTTATTTTAAAACAACAAACCACTAAAAGTTTCTCTTAGACTCCCACATTGGTATCAAGTTTACATTGTCTTTGTAGGTGCATTAAATTACATGACATACTGCTAATACATAGCTCCAGAAATGTTTCTTCAGGGCCTTCTGGATCATCCCTGGTGGGCAGATTACTGATGAGAGTTCCTGATATCATCATAGTTTGCAGCTCGTATGCCCAGGATAAAGGTTGCTGGTTACAAGTGAAGCGAAAAGCAGCACAGTGAAATAAGTGCTTCCCTTGCTTCACCCTGGAAGGCAGGATCAACAAGGCTGCACTGTGGTAGCGCTGGCTTTGCAGCTGACAAGCGTGACACTCCGTACATAACATGTGCTTTTCAAAATGGGAAAGCCACCAGGAGCAGCTTTCCCCTGCACTGAACCCAGCGTGCCAATAGCTGTGGTGCTTTAAAACTAAAGCTGCAATAGGCAGTAAGACTGCCTTAAAGTGATCCTGTGCTGCAAAGCCTGCAAATTAAAAGCAGCGTGACCCCTGCCTCCATACCACTAGGATGAGAAAGAGCAGGAGGCACCTTCACCAGTTTTAAATCTGGCGGAGGCTATCTTGTACAACACCAAATCTCACATTTCTGTCCAGGAACCAGCTATACTAACCCATCATTTGCACTCTGCTAACAGCTCCAGGCAATTTCTTTCTATAATTATCTTTCTGATGCATTTTCTTCTTAAGAAAAATTCCTGAAGGTTAGATCTGATTTTTGAAGCCGGCCTTTAGGCAATCTAGTTTATAGGAGAAGGGTTAGGCAGGGTCACATTTGCAGCTGCCTATGCCTGCTGTTGCTAGCAGCAATCCTCCTGACCCGCTCTCTTAGTGCGGAGACAGTGTGGGAGCAGAAGGCAAGGAAGGGAACTACACAAAATGCTTTATTTTTGCAAAGTCTGTTTTTCCTAGAAAGGAAAGTAGAACTGCCTCCTAAAGACAGCTTCAGCTGCTAGATCTACTTATTGCTTCTGCAACCATGGAGACTTACTATTCACTGCAAAGCCCAGCAAAAATGGCATTATGCACCCACCAAAAGGCAGCAAGAAGGTCT